AACAATCTCCACCCTTTCTGAATTTATTCGCCTGTGTCCATCTTCCTAATCTGCCTCAGTCACAGCAGAGCTGTATTTGATGGGCTAGGACAGGTGTTGGCAAATCATGGCTTGTGGGCCAAATCCAGCCCATTGCTTCATTTTTTAAATAAAGTTTTATTGGAACACAGCACCATCCTCATTCACTGACATATTGTTTATGGATGCTTTCAGGGTACAGCAGTAGACCTACTAGCTACAAAAGGGACTGTATGGAATACAAAGTTGAAAATATTTACCATCTGGCCCTCTACAGAAAATTTGTGCCCACCCCTGGTCTAGAGCAGAGGTGATTGATCCTGTGGGGTTCACATTCTACAGAGCAGAGGTGATTGATCCTGTGGGGTCTATAAACTGTACTCCACTTCCTACTCCCTCAACAAAAAAATGTTTGCAGAACTATGTGTTCCATGCACAACGTGCATTTTCCTAGGGAACAGGTCCCAGAAATTAGCAGATTCTCAAAGGAATCCAGAGTACCCTTAGCCAACCAAAGCCAAGGAAAACTAGAGTGTCTTTAGCTGCCGGCACAGTGCTAACACACACACACACACACACACACACACACACACACACACACACACGAGGAACACGTACATTCCAGAATAAAATATCCTCTCTCTCTTTTCTATCAGGTTTGGTAGATTTCTCTTTCTAGATTTACTCTGGCATTTTTTCCATCTGAATATGCAAATTTTCAGGGGTCCAACTGAAAACTCCACCTCCTACTTGCTAATTCAATAAAAATGGAAATTCCTTTAAGCCAGCAAATCTCCCTTTAAGTTATAGAGATAGACATTGGGAAGGCAAAATCTCCAGCACAACAGAGATTTAATTCATTTTACTGGACCTGACCACCAGCTCCAACAAATTTTACGAGTATCTGAATCTTGCCTTCAAGGTCATAGTGAGTTACAGAGCCAAAAAAGCATTCGGATAGGAAATCAGAAACTAAGCATCCATTGCACTTTCGCACAAGAGATAGTGTTTTGTTAGATACTTTTAGAAGAAATGGAGTAGTTTCTGAACAGAGCTGATGAAGCCCCTTGGTCAACAAAAGCATTTTTAGTGTTCAACGATGAAAACTTTGGCCCCTCCTTGCCTCCTTTGTGATTATATTCCAAAGATACTAACTCGATTGCATTTGGAGAAATTAGTCTCAGTGCCGGCCTCCTCTAATGCTGGGGTTAACGAGTATTTCATTTTCTAGATTGTGACAGCCAACGTTGCAGGACTGATGAACACTGAAGGAGGGTAGGACCTCAATTAAAAAGCTAATCAACCAGACGCAAGCAAAAACAACAGTAATGATGATAAAACACAGAGTGAAGTAATACAGAGGACTGAGTGACCAAGAATTCCATTTAGAGGGTCACCAAACGTAGACAGTGCAAACGTCAGTATGACATATATTGATGGTCCCCAAACTGTGTGCCGAGACATTCTGAGGCGATGAAGCAAACCCACGGGGCACCACCAAATATTGTCAGTTTTTGAAGGAAACACTGTGCAAACCACCACTATTAAGTTGTTCCGACCTAATCACCTAATAAGTGGAACTATTCTTTATTTTGGCCTTGGGCACCATGGGAAAAAAAAAATTACTGAGACAACCAATGGCACTATGAACATAGAAAGTGTGGGGATCTCTGACACATATGTATTTTTTTTTTTTTTTTTTTGGTGAGACGTGGAGGATAAAGAATGGTAAAATACAAACAAGACTGAGCTATTCCCACGCATGCTCATTTCCCATTTCAGATGGAAGCTGCTATTTAACGGATTCTTTCTGACTACATCCGTGTGACCAAACATAGTCTTTGAATAACGGACCATTCCTCCATATCAGGGTTGTCCATCACGGCTAAGAGATGAGTGCCATGTGTGAAATCAGGGACGATCTGGTATTTTATCATCAAATATATACATTACATGAGTTCTTTTTCATTCAAAGTCGTCAGTTTGGGAGGCTCTACAGTTATTCCAGGAAGGTAGACTTTGCTTAAAAACAAACACACACTTTTTTGGAAATATACATTTGAAATTATCTTCAGAGCTCATGACACGATCTTTGAAAAAGACTCAGTGATGGTAAAACTTCAGCTCTGAAGGTAGATTTGACTTCTAGAAATTTCCAAACACAACTTGGTGCTAAGTCTGATAATAAAAGGCAGGTAATGCAAAAAAGTTTTAAAAGACCTGGGAAAGGTTTTTGTAAAACAAACAAACAAATGAACAAAGAACTAAGGAGTAATTATAAAATGATGACTCTGCATGGTACATGGATGGGGGGAAAAGAGGAATTCGGAAGCCTTTCTGAAAGAGAAGTGGCAAAAATATTTTAGTAGCATTATTTATATAAATATATAGTCTTTCAAGGTAGCTACTCTGAAGGGCAATACATATACATATATGGCAATTGTCTTAAAAGACATTCATATTACTTTTCTGGCACACCTCTGAAATCAACAGTATATATATAATGGATATTTTTATACACATGAAGACAATTTATAATATGGACAATTATATAATACTAAATCAAATACATTTGGGGAAAAAAGAGCATGGTCTCTTATAGAGAAATACTGACTTTCTAATACACAGATATAGACAGGGCTAATATTCAGATGGTTCACCATGGTAGTACATGAAATATTTTGAGTATTATCCCTGGATATAGATATCTTTACTCATTTCTCCTCTCTTCCCCAACCCTCCAAATTTTGAGCATTCCTTTTAATGCTGCACAACCCCTCCCAACACACACACACACACACACACACACACACACACACACACATATGTACAGGAGACTCTCAATTTTTATCAACTGAAAAATAGTTTATGTATCTCTATATTTATTTAAAATTAGTTGTTCAGAACTTAAAACACAGTTCTCAAAGAAAAAACCCACATTCTAAAATTTAGACTCATAAAGCTATCGAGCCACTCTACTTTACTACATAAGATACCTAATCGCCATTCAGCAGAGTGTTTCTATGGAGAAAAGGCATCCCAAATTTCAAAGCAGTATTCCAGGTACATGCCTTCTCTGATAGTGGCAACGATGTCTCCATTGGTGAGGACAGGAAAAGAGGTGGGTGGTCCTACGCCTCTCTTATAGTCCCTCGTTTCTCTGAAAATGTTCAAGAGAAATTTCTAGTCCACCCCGTCCTTAGGAGGTACTGGAGGTCCCAGGGCTCTCAATCCTCCTGCACATCAGAATCACAGGAGCAGCTCGTAAAAGTTGCCAATCCCCAAGCCCCACCCGGACTGATGAAATCCAGATCTCCGGGACCTTGGCACTGACTGTGTTCGTGAGCTCCACCAACACCGATGTGCACCAGGGTTGGGAATCGTTGACTGACTCCTTCTCTACCCCAGTGCGGCTGTTTTGCAAGTTCAGGCCCTGGACTCACAGACTGGAGAGGAGCACACAGAGAAACACACTTGGTCAAGAATATTTTAAAGTAGAAAGCACACTGAATAACAGGTAAGAGTAATCTGATCCGGACCAAAAAGATGTTTTGCTTTCCATATTTCATCCAAAACTGTAACAGAATGACCTTGGATTTTTTTTTTCCCTACTACTTTCTTTTTTCATAAGACAGATAAATAAAGCAAAGAATACAGTTGTGATATATATATATTTTTTTCTCTTGGTCTCAAAGAGAGAAACCTGCAGGATTAGGAAGAGGGGGGTGGGAAAGTGAATGGCCATGACCATGAGGATAATACCCCTTTCCTGGCTGGAACAAGATGAGAACAGAGGTAGCTTCAGAGCAGATGAAACTGATGTTGAATCAAACAAGTATCTCTCGGAACTGAATATGAAGACGTGTATGGAGAAGCCAGACCCACTCTGGACAACTATGAGCTGGAGTCAAGAACAAGGAGAAAATGCCAACAGAGAAAAATATATGATTGCACTTCAAAAATCTAAACTGGGAAGAAGGGGAGGATCCGAGGGAGCAACGTTTGTACACTTTAAGGCAAAGAAAGAAACTGAGTGTATCCTCTTCTTCCTGTTTTAATCAAAATCTTCTGTCCTTATACTGCAAGAGTAGCCCGGTATTAATACGATATCAAATAGCAATGTTTCCTGGCTCTTTTCGGTAGTATTTTCCCTGTGCATCACTCACTCCTCGATCTCTGAGGACCTAAAGCCCCAAATCAGGGAACCCACTGGTATATCTGGCCACAAGGACTTGTTCGTTGCTTCGTCAGCCTGCTAGGAATGCACAGTGGAGAGAGCCTGCTACGGTAGAGCGAGCTACTACATGCTGCTGAAGTACGATGTGGCCTCAAGTCAACCCATGGATATTTGAAAGACTGTTCCTAGGGATTAATTCAACCCTCCCCATTATCTCCTCATCTGATCAAAGAACAACGAACTGGCTTTAATTTTCTTCTATTGCAGCCATTAATAGTAAGGCTTTTTCATTGACAAACAAAGCAAAACAAAGCAAAAGAGCAAAAGAATATGTTAACTATGAGGCGATCCTCGGGGGTTTGCACATTGTAGGAGGGACGACAGCAGAAGGCACCGATTCTCTGTGATTTGATGTGACAGTTCGCTTTGGGACTGACAAAAGTCCTCCTTACTAAATACAGATGCTCATGGAAGCCACTTGGCAGAACTTGTGACTTATCAAACACACACACACACACACACACACACACACACACACAGAATAGATAGGTGATATAAAATCACATCACAAATCACGTTCCACTAATACTATACCACAAATGTCAAAAGAACCAAATTTGTGACTCTTTGAGCTGTGATAAAAGTGATTTTAGGTTTTCCAAAGTTGGGAAAAAGAGTATGACCAGGAAACCTTGCCACTTCACCTAGAATATGTGGTTATTTCCCAGGATTGAGCCAAAGTTGGGAATATGGCAACAGCCACAACAGGCAGAATAGATGCTTCACGAGAAGAGCGGCTTGTTGCTATTTTTAGAATACTCTTAAAGATGCATATTAAATAATTTCTTCTGGACCACAGACACAAATGAACTTAAAAAACAAAAGCCCTATAAATATTGCCAGCTTAACTTTGTCTTTGTGTCTCCTCCTTCCTTGCATAAAATGGAAATTTTTCAACCAAGTGCTTAAACATAAATATTAAAATAATAAGTGGGACGGACTACAAATCTACTTACAATTTCATCACTACTGTAGCACCTTTTAACCAGGGCCAATGCATTCATTTTGCAAAGAACAAGAGAAGTCTGAGAAGCTTAGGGACTCATATGACTCATCATTAAATATTTAATCACCTTTTTAAGTCCTAAGCCTTTATCATATTTCATCCATCTAGACAGTTCATTTTGTACTATAGATTCCAAGGCCCCCTTTGGAGGGGGAAAAAAAAAAAGAAAATGGGGAGAAAAACCTTCTGAGAAGAAGGGTTAAAGATGAGTTTCTATTGGCGCTTTAGTGAACTCGCTTCACCCCGTAAACCCACCAATCCACAGGAGGGTCAATTGATTGAGTTCATTGTTTTTAGTCTCCAATAATCAGTTTTACAAAAGATGCCACGTCTGTTGCTTTGGATTCATGTAGGGTGAAAAATGGATGTTGCTGGGAAAGAAAAGAAAAATACATGGTATTAATATTTGTCACTGACAACATATGAGATTAGCAAAACAGATCTGTTTGGTAAACAGATGACGCATACCCCTGTCAGGGCTAAACTGGCTTCTTCCTACCCCTTCTCAAATCAAGTGCACATCTAGTGATACAAACATTTTTAAGATACATTCCTCTGAGCTGCCATTCTTCCCATTTTGATATGTTCCCACTATGGAGTATCTATTGCTTAAAAATAGAAATGTAATTAGGCCACATAGATCTCATCTACGGTAAAAATCCAAGGATTAGCACAAAGACAGATTAAACTCTGATTTACAAATAACCTTGCTCCCTATAAATAATTTTAGACTGATACAGTCATAAAATAATTAGACATTTCACAGACTTATGCACATTCGTTTCTTGGGAAATGATGGTAGAATGAGAAACCAATTTTGTGAAACAGTAAATGGGTGAGGCATTGCCCTGCCCTTGACGTTGAAGAGCTGCTTTGTACTGAAATAGTTAACACAGCCACTTTCTAAGCCACATCTATAGCCAAGAGTTATACTTATGTCTTTCCTGAGGAAGAGTTGATCCATCTGGAAAATAATGGAGACTGCCAAACTCCAGGTTGGTGCAGAGAAAATTCAACTCAGAGATTAAAGATTGAAAAACCAAAAACTATGGTCTCTATTTCCACAGGCCAGATTAGATAAACTGGACACAAACATCAAATCTAGCACTTTGATGGGGAAGGGAATGGACATGGTATGATACGAGAGGCCACAGACGTCAAAAGAATTCTGAAAGCAACAAAGCCATTTTCTCTGCACCAGAACCATCCTCCCCTAATGGCTGAATTCTGTAAGTGTCCAGCTGTCACACTGGAACCTTACACCTCCAATCAGAAGGAGATACGTAAACTTATGACCCACAGTTCTCAATGCAGAAACAGAACCAACCAACCAAACCAGACAGGACGATTCCTTCAGGTAGAACCTGGTGCCATGTACCCACCTCCCAGCCACCCAGCATGGCCACCTCCCTGACGGTCTGTTGTTATTATTTTCAGTGACTAGCTGAGCAGCTAAATATGAGCGTTTTTGCATTCTGGCGAGTATGCAGATGACTCGCTCTGTTTCCCCTGACTTTGGAGATTTTCGTTTACAACCTTTAGGTGGCCTAGTCGTAGGTTTTCTAATTATATTTGTTTTAAACCTGACAGCAGAGGGCTGGATGAGTCAGCTCTGCGGAGAACTGAATGCCCACCCATGAAAGTTTTAGGAAACAAAGTAAATGGGGAAAGAACAAAGAAATAAAACCCCAAAGAAGATAGGTGGTCACCATTAAGGATCAGGACTCAGAAAATAGAAAAGGGGTTTTCTGCTTTTGCCCATCTGAAGATAAAGGTTGTGTGCTGGCTCCGAGCCTCACACCTACTATATTAAGTGAAGCTCTAGGTGCTGGGTCAGTCATCCCCCGAGCTCCTTGGATAAATAAACACGGTATTACTTTTGATTACTAACCACTGACACAGCACACTTACCAAGGGCTTTACCACATCTTCTTGACGTTTGGTGAACTTTTAATGTGCTTAAAAGCCTTTTACTATCAAAACAGGACTTGCCAAACCTCAGACTATCTCACTGACTGCTTCCCACGCTTGCCAGCCCCATCCTGCCTCTGGTTCTGCTGATGCAGCCTGTGTCTGTGAATGAATTCAATAACCTAAGCTGAAGTTTAAAAATATATATATATATATCCTCAGATATCTCCTAGTTTATTCTCAGGCTGGGAAAATGCTGGGAGAGCCAAGGGGCGGAGGGAAGGGAAAGCGGGCAGGCGCGTCAAAACGGAAAGTGTGACTCGCCTTCTTGTGTGGGTTTTGAGGATGTACGAGGCTGGGGGGAAACCCAGTCCCTTCTATAAGCAGTGGACTCAGAATAGCAAGGACAGCAACCAGGAGATGAGCAAATTTGGCACATGAACTCATCCCCAGGCTGGGTTTCTCCAAAAAGGAGCCTGGGACAGGAAGGAAGGACTGTATCACTGGTTGTGCCAGGAGAAAACACGGAGATCCGTGAATGCTGCCAGGAGCATCGAGGTAAGCAACAGTCACCAGCGGTCTCCATACCCCACGCACAACACCTCATCCTTCAAGATGGTGGTTTCCTATGGGTTCAATTATCCTTGCTTGACAATGAGATTCAATATGGAACTTCCCAGGATATTTGGAGAACATAATTGCATCACTGGGCAAACCCTCACATCGCCTGGTTATCATTTTAACAGTTGATGGTCCAGGGGCCAAATCTAGCTCACTGCCTGTTCTTTGAAGTAAAGTTTCATTGAAACATAGCCACCCCCACTTATTTACACATTGAACACGGCTGCTCTCACACTAACACTACAGAAGTGAGTAGTTACGACAGACCACAAAGCCTACAATATTTACTATCTAACCCTTTACAGAAAAAGCTGGCCAGTCCCCACTCCACAAGAGCAAATCCTATTGAGTCATGACCCTCAATGGGAGTTTGAGATGATATGAAACAAGTATACCCCTCGATCCAAGTTCGGAAGGAAAACATGCGAGATTTCTATAAGAGGTGCATGTCTGGGTTTGGGCCTTAATTATACTGTCCTTCACCTGGAAAAAAAGCGTTTTGTTTTCCTTGCTGCCTCTTCGCCAACTCCTACAACCTAAACAATAGCCTCTGAGCATGTGTTTTCCCAGTGCTAAAGTCAAAGGCTTTGGACTCACATTTTCCACTTAAAAACCTCAATTCCACAGGAAAACAGGGAGCAGTTACGGCCTTAAAAGGCAAGTCCGTTTCCAGTACCACAAAGACTAATGCCATAAAAGGAAGGGGGGTGTCCACACAACCTCACGACGTTCATATGCAGGCCACAAAAGACCACGGTGTTAGGATACGCTGGAAAAGCGGGATTCAGTATCAGCCGCCGAAGCCTATGAAGCTAAAATGGCATTTTCTCTTGAGCATGTTCCACTGAAACCTCTGATAAGAGGTCACTTGGAAGGAAAAAAAAAATGTTCTGTATTTTAGAGTCAGAAATAAATAGAAAATGTTCTTTTATCTGGCAACAGTGACAGACAAGGAAACTTTAAAATAGGAGTGCAGGCGCCATAGAATCCCTCAGGAATCACTCTTAGGTCCATTGTACATTCGGTAAAATTAACTTTAAAATGCTCTGGGGCTGCATAAGCGTACCAAAAAAGGGGGCTCCAACTGGAGAATGGTCCAGCCGTAAGTCAAAGCTTAACCAACAGAACTGACACTTCCCGTGAAGGGCTGCGACTACTGCCCATCGTCAGACTAACTTTCTATAACTCTTCCGGGCTTGGTATCTCCAAACTACAGTTTCTCTCTTTTTTCCCCAGCTCGATTGAGACTTAAATGACAGATAACATCGTGTAAGTTCAAGGTATACAACGTGATTATGTGATACACTTATAGATGCAAAGTAATTATCATATCCATCACCTCGCATCCTTTTGTTTGCTTTCGGTGAGATCATTTAAGATCTACTCTCCTGTCATCTTTCAAGGACACAAGACGGTACTGGTAACTATGGCCACCAGGCTGTCCATCACATTCTCAGAACTTCTTCACCTTACGGCTGCAAGTTTGTGCCTTTGGACAGCCGTTTGTACCCTATTTCCCCCAACCCCTCACCCCTGGTAACCACCAATCTACTGTTTCCAGGAGTTCAATTTTTCTAGATTCTACATATAAGTGAGTTATTTGTCTTTGTGTGTCTGGCTTATTTCACTTAGCACAATGCCTTTGAGCTTCATCCATATTATTGCAAATGGCAGGATTCTCTTCTTTTTATGGTTGAGTAATATTCTAGTGTGTGTGTGTGTGTGTGTGTGTGTGTGTGTGTGTGTGTGTGTATCGCAATTTCTTTATCCATCGATACTTAGATTGTTTCTATGTCTTGGCGATTGTAAATACTGCTGCAATGAACATGGGAGTGCAGATACCTCTTTGAGATAGCAATTTCATTTCCTTAAATATAAGGAAAGTATATTTATCAGAAGTAGCATTGCTAGATCATAAGGTAGTTCTAATTTTAATTTTTCTGAGGGATTCTCATACTGTTTTCTATACCACCTGCACCAATTTACATTCCCACCAACGGTGGACAAGGCTTCTCTCCACATCCCCACCAGTAGTTGTGGTCTCTTGTCTCTTTGATAACAGCTATTCTAACAGGTGCGAGGCGGTATCTCATGGTGGTTTTGATTTGTATTTGTTGATGATTAATGATAGTGAGAACCCTTTCAGGTACTTGTTTGGCAAAAATCAACAAGTGGGATTACATCAAACTAAAATGCTTCTGCACAGCAAAAGAAATAATTAAAAAAATAAAACTGAGACCTACGGAATGGGAGAAAATATTTGTCAACCACATATTTGATAAAGGGTTAACATCAAAAATATACAAAGAACTCATATAACTCGATAGCAAAAATAAATAAATAAAAAGAATCTTGATTTAAAAATGGGCAAAGGACCTGAACAGACATTTTTCCAAAAAAGATATACAAATGGCCAACAAACTATACTTTTTCCAAGTAGGAGCCACTTCCTGACATTTGTTAAGAGATATCAGGATCACGTACTTTTATTAACCACCCTGAGCTGATCCTGAACCTGAGCCCTGCTTGTGGGTAGAATGAGACAAGAACAAGCATTTAATGCCTGCTGAGCAACTGTGCTCCAGTAAGAAATGGTGTCAATGTTTTCTCTTTTCTCTTCTGAAATTGTGCATGAACAGAACTTTCCATCCCTTGCTAACATTAAAATCTTGATAATTGTAATAAATCTAGGGAGGAGTTAACACACACTAGTAAATAGTCTGAATTTTATAATATTTTAAAAATAAAAGTGTTTTTCTCCCACATTCAACATATACTTAGATAAGGATGGCAAAGTTTAGGGCCCTACCATCTACATTAAAGAATCATTTGTAATTAGCTTAGAATTGCAAGCACCACGATTTAAGAGAAACTATTTTAAAACAACAACTCAAGTCTTATTTTCATTCTTTTTTTCATAGGCCATACTAATGATAAACTGTGAATGCTGAAGTCACATAATTCAAATTATTAAGGTACTATTTTACTTTTGTCCACTAAAGTGAGAACGGGAAAGAAAAAATAAAAGTAATTCTTTCTTCTCTGATCACTCACCAAAAAGAAGTTCATCCAATTTATCCTAATATTCTATCAAAAACTGATCAGTCACATAGTATTTAAGTGTCATTATTGAAATCTGTTAAATTATGCTTTCTTTCCTTTTACATTAGCAATATGTGACTCTATATCTTTGAACTTTGAAAATATAAATATTATAGACATAATTTGGTCTCTATAATGACGTTTATCAACATGGAAAAAAACTGCTAAGACTGACGACATGCCCCAGGTTATACTCAAGAAGGATTTAAGACCAATGAAGGACTTGACTCTTTTTTTTTCTTGAGTTCAATTCCAGTTACCAATATTTCAGTGAGTCAGCTCTTCC